CAGTAAATATTAACGTGATTTACAAAGTTTTATAGTGTTTGTCCGGGTTACCCTGCCCTAAGGCCGGCACTGAAGGTTAATGTAACAGAATAAGTTTTCATTAATACATGGGAAGAAGGAGGTGAGATAGAACGCCATATTATATAACTGTTTCCTGTAGTTAGTTATTTTGAAAAAATACTTCAAAATATTGGAAGGGGTGCCTTCAATTTATAAAATATTGGAGAAGTGGTGGCAAAAAGTACCTTGCGCCCCCAATATACAATAGAGAGAGGAAATTCGATTGTTTTAACTGAATCGATTCGTAACGATTCAATCATTGCGGTGAACCAACTCTTCAATTGATTCTATTCATCAAAAGAAATAATAACAAACATTTTCAAACCTTATGGTTATTCAGGCAAAAACTTATTTTCTTTTCTTTTTTATCTAATTGAAATTAAACGTCATGGTTCAAATGTACCCAAATAAAAAGTAGAAAGGAAGTTTAAATTTGACAGGAAATTGTTTTTAGTTGTTAGATTTTCAAAATGTTAGATTTTGATCTGTGCATTTATATTTTCAATGAACCCCGGCCTGCTCACTATTATATGGTTGGGCTCAGTTCTGCGTGTTAGATGTGGGCGAGGCAATCACTTCAATTGCGTACGACGAGACAAACTCATTATAAAATTTAAAAAAAATTGTTTAATTGAAACCGATACAACTTGAAAAGTAAGGTATGCTATGCACAGTCATAATAATAATAATAATGCACTAGTAGATCCAGGATTTAATTTTGGGAGGGGCTTTAGCCCGAAAGATTTTTTGTCATATATAACGATAATTAATTTGAAAAAAAAAATAAAGAAACTAACTACTTAAATGGCATAGTGTTTAAGTTATTCTTGAAGTGCTATTAAATGTAATACACGAACAATAATACTTTAAGAAATAGTTTTTAATATTTTTTTCTATAAAACATGGTTATATTTTAACATATCGGGAGGGAGGAGGGAGGGTGGCTTCATCCCGATATCCTCCTCGCTTCCCGTAGATCCGACTGTGATGCTAAGTATCGAAAAGGCTAATGTGTAAATAGAAATATATTCCAGGAATATAACTCATAGTATAGTGTAGAAAGAATTTAATAGGATGAAACAAAATTTTCAGTCAAGATATTTGTATTGGATAAGCCTATATTTCAATCCAAATATGAGGGTCATCCTCAGGACTATCTGTCGGAAGTCGAGAAAAGGAAATCTGATAGTAACTATAAATCAATCTAGTTTATCAATGCAGTGGAGGGATGGGATGCAGTGGAACAAAGCCATTTCTTTTTCATATTAAATACATAATTATTTTATTTTTAAATATATAGAAATATATACATATATATATATATATATATATATATATATATATATATATATATATAAATTCAAACTTCACTATTTTATTGGGAATAAGGTCACTTAATTATTATTTAATAAACTAATTAATGTTCATTTCTTCTGTTTATTGACGTTTCGATCCCGGTATTTTCTTTTTATTAGTCAACCATGGGATCTTCTTCAAAGCTAGAATTTAAAAAAATAGAGCTTCGATCAGGCCAGGGACACACCGACAGCCTCAGCACCGCCCACTAGCACATATATTAAGCTACCTAGTAGTTAGTTAGTAGTTAGTAGTAGTATATAATAATAAACATATAAATAAATGTCATTTCTGGATCCCTCTACCCGCCTTAGAAAAGCAGATGTTTCTGGGTTTGTTTTCTTTATAAATTTATATCCTTAAAAAAAAATGTCTTCAGAGAAAAAACATAATGTGGGCAGGATGGTGGCAAACGTTAAGACGCAAAACAAAATTGTTGAATCCCGATGTTCTACCTAAATTCCAATCCTTCATAAGCAATAAAGAGAACAAGATAACAATAAAGATTTTTTTCTGGCTGAATTTATACTTTTTTTTATTTTGTATGTTTTAATTTCAATATTCCGCTCATACTATTCAGATTTTAATCCTTCAATTCATTGATACCAAGGTAATTTTTCCATTTATATACCTTGATTTTTTATATTTCTATGTATTTGTTTTTGTAGCCATGAGGAGAACTATAGTGTAAGCTGAAACGTCAGATTTCAATAAATTGTCTTCTTAGTAGTCATGCATTTATAGTAGGAGTACTTAAGAGAAATAAACAAATCCTCATTTAGTGACAGAATATGTATATACATGTTGTTTTTTTTTTTCGGTTTACGGCTCTACAAACCTTGTAAATCTTTGGCGGCCTGAACCAGCCTTCTACACCTCTTTCTGTTTTGGGCTACTGTTTTCTAGTTTGCGGCATGAAGCTCAGCGTATCTTTGTTTATCCTATCTATCCATCTGGTTTTTGGCCACCCACGTGGTCTCTTGCCTACTACTCAGGCATTCAGTGTCGTGCAAAGGCGTCCTGACGTGTTGCTACGAACTACATGGCCTGCCCTTGCCTTCATGTCATGAGATATTGACTGACCCAATTCTTTCAGAAGTTCTTTATTGTTCCTTTTCCTCTATGTTTCAAGGCTCTGGTCCCATATAGGTTCTGTTATCCTCCGTAGAACTTTTCTTTAGAATCTCTCAATTCTGGCTTCTAGTGTGCCGGTTAGAGCCCATGTTTCACAACCGTACAGCAGAACTGGCTTAATCACGACGTTATACACCCTTACTTTTAGATTTATGGATTTCAGTACCCTTGAAAGAGAGAAGAAAGATCTGTTCGCCCTTATTATTCACTGGTATATCTCTGTTAGTTGATCATTTATTGAGGTTATTGTGGAGTCGAGGTAAATGAATCAATCTACTTTCGGGAATGACTTAGACATAAGTCCACGCAGATCATGTTATCAGAGTGGATGTTTCGGCTAACTATCATGTATTTTGTTTTATCTACATTGGACCTGTAGTCCGATTTGCTCTGCTTCTTTTAACAGAGTCCGAGCGAGTCTCTCAATATCCTCTTGATTACTTCCGAGGACAGCTCATGATGCGGATATCATCCGCATATGCTAGGATTTTATGTTTCATTCCAACGTGCGCCCCTCTATCTTCACGTGATGTTGTTCTTATATATATAAGACTTTATAATTATTATGAAGTTAATCAAATTAAAATATAGAAAATTCTAAAACTTCAAGGAGCTAAAAACTACTCGTGCGCCTGCTGGCCACAGTAACTGTGGATTAAAAGCAATTTTTCACAGCTCTTGAACTATCGGGAGTCGGTGTGAATATTGTCGAATTGGCACTCAAAGCTGCGATTTTTGAGTTATAAATGTTGGAAGTCATGATTATAAGCAGCGTGAGGTAAAATGATAGTCTCCTTCTAAGCAATAAAACCTGCTAGTAAGTCGATCATACCCCTTGGAAAAGAATATTCATGGTCTTTCCTGCCAATTGAAAACAATATTTAAAAAAAAAAAATTCTATGAGATCGATGAGACCTTAGACCTAGACCTTAAAGTTGGAAAAGGGTCTTCGAGTAGAAGGATAGTGTGAAAGTCTGCATATGAAGAAGACTGCTGAATCCAAGAAATGAACATTCCCATTTTCATATGGGAACTATATATATACTGTAGAATCTTGACGATTATTCTGCAACAGTAATATTCGTTTATATGGTAGTCATGAAAAATATTTCAATAGGCCTCATTTTCACCATAAGCCAACACCTTACTGTCGCCCGTTATTTTGTTTTAGGACAAAGCAATTTGTTTGTAGCCGATATGAACTGCAGGCACGTTTCTTATCGAAGGTGAACGTTCATAAAAATTATTTTGTTTTCGAGATTTTTAGCAGAAGTAAATGGATATACTCAGATTAAATAAGTGATAATACCCGTAGTATTAAAGTTTCATTAAAATATTTTTTTTTTATTTATATGATATTTACAACTGTATACAAAAAATACATCTAGTAAATTTGCACATGGATATAATGACATGAAACACATGTTAAGAAACTACCCATTGGTAGCACTCTATTGCTATAATATGTTTATATTAGGAGATCACTAAATAATATGTCTATATTAGGAGATCACGTGGCCATCTTCTTTTCAGACGCCTCGGAGGGTTATCAGGAATTGAATAGGTTGGGGAATAGAAACAAGATGGTTGGGATGGTTATGAAGTTTATTATGGAAGGACAGATATCTGGATTGAGCCAAATCTGATACATAAGGAACATTAAGGTCATGATTTTATTTGTAACAAAGTAAGAGTTTAAAAAAATAATGGAAATGTTACTCCTACCTATTCCCAATCCTTAAAATAACCTCGGGCTGTGGAAGGACTGTTATTTGTATATATTTGTATTGTTATACTTATATATGTAATTTAATTAAATAAACTTTTTTGGAGGCTTAGAAAAAAAAGAAGCTTAAAAAAGAATTTTCAGTTGAAATTTCGACAGCACTGGAGTTATTTCTGAATTTCGCCCAATGATTTAATAAAGCCTGACGTAAGGATCTGCTACCATCCATATACTAATGTTCAATTTCGGTCCAGGAGGTACCTATATATCACAACTTATTATTTTGTATAGCAAAATTACTTCAACTGATTCTTTTATAATCAGTAATCCTTAAATTCCTATTTTACATAACGGGAAAGTATTTAAACTAAACCCAAGAGGCATGAGGGATCAGCTCATTTTTTTTTCAAGTTTATTTTCTTGTATGAATAAGTTGCAGAAACGAATATAATTAATTTTGTTTTTAATAATGATGAAGTCTATAACGGCATGAGAAGCAAAGCATCCATCAATATCTGTGGAAGAATTACAATAATATAAATTATTTTTGTATATGGCCAAAGATTCAAAGATGTCGTAATCTTCTCGTTTAATTGCTAAAATGTGCCTCCAATAAAGTTGATTGAAGTTCCTAGGATACCGAAAACGGCCGAAGCTGGCCGAACGCCACCGACCTCAGGACACAACTTAAGGCTCTGTTGGGGACGAGCTGGGATCAGTGGTGATGAAGAAGTGGCTAGTAGTGGTGGTGTCATCCTGGGTCTTGGCCCTCGTCCGCGGGTCAGAGGCCCCTCCTGGGGTTTATGTCCTTCCCCTCGACCCTCAGGCCAAGCATCATTTCTTCTGGACCCTCGACTACGTTGACTCCACAATCCAGGTATCTCCAGAGAAACAATCTCTTCCGACCATGATATCATGCCTCAGCGTTCAAATTAATAGACAGATTATTTGGAATTGTCGAGCTACAGTTCATACAACATTTGCCAAAGATTGGAGAGAGAATAAAGAAGTAAAAAAAAAACAAAAAAAGGAGTAATTTTAAAATATTGTAGAGATAGCTCATTTTACATTCTCGATTGTCCATAGTACAGTAGAATTTCGTTTATCTTGAATAATGTGATATGGACTATTTCGGAAAACGGGCACTTCCGCATAAATAGTGTTATGAGTAAAATAAAAGTTCTAGGTGTGAATTGCTTATGTTAAAGTAATGTGAAAAAAAAATGTTTTAGTTGTGAAAGATGCTAAACACTTATCAAAATAAAAAACGAATTAAAGGAGGACTGAAAAAAAAATTCAATCCATATTTTCATACCAATATTTATTGTATGAAGGATCGCTTTACAAATATCATGGAATTTTTATTTATATTTTTGAAAATAAAATTATATTTGAGACACTATGACACTATAAAATTATATATATATATATATATATATATATATATATATATATATATATATATTATATATATATATATATCGATTATAATATATATATTTAATTACTTCTTAAATTACATAAATAAAATTAAGGAATTTAGGCAAAATTAATTTTAAATAAAAATATTAATATTTTATACAATTTTTTTTTTTCAAATAGTGTATTTGTAGGGCATTGGTAGAAGGGAAAAAGTGATAATTCAAAGAAAAATATAATCTTAAGAAAATTAACGATGATAGAAGCAATAATTTCATACAGTTCTAATGAGACAAATCAATCTAGCCGTGTACACCATTTAAAGATTTTATATGTTTGATGGATTCATTTTCCTTGAGTAATAACTTTTACAAACCACGTAAATGTTGTTTCTATCCTATCAAAATTCAAAGATATTTATTTACATAAAAGCACTAAATGAAGACTATTCTTTTGTTGATTTTATGAAAATGTATACAAACTTTTCATAAAATGTACTTGTAAAGAACTATGATTTATTGAATAATGATGTTTTGTAAATTATAAGAGCTACTTTATGTATATTTAAAAAAAAATATTATAATTAACTAAAAATTAACATAAATTTAAGTAATGACTCTTAAGAATAAATAGAAAATATACCACTAACATTTCCTCATAAAAATTCCAGAAAGAAGGAATAAATTAGTTAAAAAAATGTAGTTGAACAATTAGCGCCCATATACATTTATTATTGTAAAATAATCATAATAGAGGCAAAACTCTGACGACTAACAATGGAAATAATGTTGAAGAAATTTTGCCAGTTACATTTTCAATCTAAAATTCAGTTAACTAGAACGTCTTCTGCTATGTCTAAGTTTCAGCTTTAGATGAAAAACAAAATGCATATACAATTTTAGATTATATCCGATATAGAGGAATTGATAGGAGGGGCTAGGGCAGGATAAAATTATTATAAAATGTTTTGAGGGGGGGGGGGGGGGGCAAAAGTGGTATCGCTGTACCTTCCGTTGAATAATTCATAATTAATCAAAATTCCTTTCTTTTCAAAAAATATTAATTTTGTTTACAGTAAAATGATTATAAATAGTTTAAAAAAAATAGTATTAAACTTTTTCTCCTTGTTGAGGAATAGAAGAGATTAGGGAAGGAAATAAATTCAGCCCACATCCCTAATGTCTACATTATAGTAGACGCTATACCGATCCATCATTTTCTTATTTACTTACGCGGGTTCAAATTTTTTGTCCATTTTTTTTTAATACCAAATTTGTAAAAGAAACGAGCCACAACTTTTAGGAGTGTTATTCTTGGGACAGAAGGTTTATGGAAAAATTCGGTGAATTCTCATAACCAAAAAGGGCTTTAAAAGCAACAACAAATACCACGTATCAGCCATAGATAGGAATAAGTTCATTAATAGTTAATTATATTATTATTTATATCAATAATATAATTTATATTATTTTATTTTAAATCTTATACCCAGAAAAGCTTTAGGTGTTACTGTATCATATTCATCTCTATAAGAGACTGTCATTGGTAAAAAATCTGGTCTTCAAAGAATATAAACCAGTCTAATATTATCTAATATAAATGCATTTATTACTAACTACATTGAATTAACCTAATTAGAATTATCCTTTCTTTTATTTCATGGACTTATTCATTTCATGATGACAACTATCAAAATCTTAATAAAACAATAATTATAATAAGTATTAAGGATTACTTATTAAAGCTAAAAGACAATAAATTATTAATAAATACAGTAAAGAGACATTCAAGTTTTAAATGCACAGCAAATATTACCTGATATTAATTATGAGTTAAAATCGGGACTTGAAACGGGAAAAAACTTGGATTTTTAAAAAGTTTCGGTTCCGCTGAAACTTTTACTATCGATAATTTTTTTCAGTTCTTTTGGAACTATAAATTTTTGCATTGCTACTTTTCCAGTAAATGTTTTACAGAATTTTTATTTAAAAGTTCTGTCGATTACGCTAAAAAGTCAATGTAATAAATTATTTTTATTTTAGATACTCAAACAAACGACACTTAAGAATCATGTGTAAATAATTAATAAAAAATTATAACTCTAATCTATGTCCAATTACTGATTATTTCTCATGTAACGGAACTTTTTTTAAGAAATTAAATAAATAAAAAGTTCTAAGGAACTTTCATTGTATGAACTTTTTCCCTGAAAAAGTTTCACAGAAACTGTTAAAATAGAAGTTTTTAAAAACGTTCCATAAAATTTTTAACTCTTTAAGTGAAATTAAATGAGGTTAAAATGAATGTATGATTGCATCTGATTAACTGAATAAAATATGAAATTTCCATTGGAAAATCAAGAGAACCAGGCAAAAAAAAGAAATTAAATTAAAATAATTAGCCAAAAAGTCTCTTTAATTTGATGAGGTTGTTATTTAGGAACACGAAATGTTTTAAACCATTTAAAGAAAACACACAAGTACTTCTACGTAAATAATATATTTTTAGTTCTTTTTCTCAGTGGGATTCTGGTCTATCTACAAGTTTATATAGATGAGGAAACATAGTTTTCCTCCGTGAAGAAAACCACATGTGTTAGTGAGAAAAGGATTTAGGATTTTCTAATGTGTCGACTCTAATATGTTTAAAAGTTTGTCCATGCCTTCATTGACAGTGACTGCAAACGTTATTTACGGGACGCTGTGGTAGCGTAAATGTCTGCAGTTTTCCAACGTGATAAAACCTTCTCCGATATATGTTATTTTTAACGCAAAAATTTTAAATAAGAATGATAGTTTTTGAAAATAGCGAGCCCTAATAATATTTTCTGCTTTATCTATAATGTGACGGGAGTGGGGTAGTGTACTGAGTGGTAGGGTATTGAGCTTCCAATGCTAAAGGTTCCAGGTTCGAATCACGGCTCATGGCAAACAAAATTATTTATTCTGTTTCATTGGCCCGTGGGGCAACCCTGAGTAGGTAGGCCAACCCTCCTGTGGCATACCCAGCCTCTATAAAGTGGGTGCCCTTAATTAAAATAATTAATTAAGGGGAAAAACCTGGCGGATGAACGTGATCTCGGTCAAATCCCCTCCTTGTACAACCGTATACCAAGAAACAGTGCTTTCCCTAAATAGTACTGAACCCCCTTAATGGGGCGGGGTGGCTGAATGGGCTAAAGCGTGGGCACAGCACCGCGAGTTGCCTGGCAACCGGAGAACAAGATTTGAGATGATTTAAAAAGTACGAGTTCGCGTCCCGGTGCCGAAGGGGATTTTAAATTCCCCGCCCTCACCCTCCGGCCCGGGAAAATCCCGTATAGCCTAAAAGGCGAGGTAGGGAAGAACACAAAAAAAAAAAAAAAAAAATCTTCATGAGTTGTAGTGCTACAGACTTTTTTTATTTTTTTTTAATCTATAATGTAGATTTATGCCACTTATTCCTTTAGTGTCTCTATTCAAAATATATTGACTTTTAAAAGATTGGATTCATATTTAAATGTTTAGATTAATTGGTACTTCCAGTCATTTTTGGCAACCCCAATTTAGATATACCAATGTAGACTATTTTTTCTTCATGTCGAATCTTAAATTGGATTCATATTTAAATGTTTAGAGTTAAGTACATAGGAAAATCTTGTAACATCTTTGTCTATAAAAACATTTTCAAAAAGGACCACATAATCCAAATCGGGTTTGTTCATCCTTCTTTGGATAGCTAAAGATATAATCAAAATATATAATCCGTGGTACAGACCCATTTTTATCAAACTATTAACATCCAACTGAAACTTTGTGAATAGCTTCATTTCACCGTAACCTACTACTATTTTATATACTAAAGCTCTTAGAATTGGGGCTTTTCTATCTGGAGATCGGCAGACTTTGTCTATTTAATTAGGTACTAATAACTCTTAAGTACGAATTTGGTTTCCACTAGAATCTTAAAATAATTATCAAAATGAAGAAAAAAGGTGGCCTACATAAATTTTGGGCTGTTTGGCCAATTTAACCTCGTTATTTTGACATTTTGGGTGTGCAGGTCACGCCAAAAGGCCCAAAATTAATGAAGGCCATCTTTTTTCTCCATTTTTCCAAGTGGAAAGCAAATGGTTATTTACAAGTTTAGAGTAATTAAATAAATAAACAATTTCTGCCGATCTGCAGATAGAAAACGCCCAGATAGAAAATAAATAAAATAGTTGTAGGTCAAGATGAGATGAAGCTATTTACGAAGTTTCAGGCGGATGTTAATAATTTGATAAACAGAGGTCTTTATAGCGGACTAATATAGTCCGTCTCAAGTCCAAACTTTACACTAAAATTTTCTCCTTCAACAGGAATATGGATAATTGTAATTTTTAAAGCTAATAATTTTATTTAATTAAATAGAAAACACATTTATGGCTACTGCTTAAATATAAATATGTATTTAAAGCCCAATTTTATTCCTCGTTTA